ATTATCAATTACTGAAAGGAGGAAATAGTTACGGAGATGTACAATATGAATTCATCATTTTTATAATGACACATTTAACATGACAAATTAAATGATACGTTGAGCATGGGAGTCATTTATGGAATGCAAGTAGCTTCCAATAATTACTAATTATATTTACAAACATAATACTTGATTTCGCAGCCATATTCAAGTTCAGATGAAGTGAAATGGATATCACATGCAGTTAGCAGTAATGTTGCATATACACACATATATGTACATGTGTGTATACATTTACATACACAGACGCATATGCGTATACATACGTATTGCGTCCTTGTATCAGAACCTAAGAACTGTTGTACTCTGAACCGTGGTTGACTAATTAGTCATCTAATTATTATTGGCAATGATCATTTCGTACTTTCTTCTACAAAGTGAACCTTTTGTCATTGTCACGTGAACCATTTTGTGTACAGCGTTACAGAAGTGCAGAATAATGGTTTTACTATGTTACGAACGTACCTAAAATAGAAATACATTAGTCGAAAAACTTGACCGAACGAGTGCCTTCAAGCCTAAACCTATTTCTAAGCAAACAAAGAAGAGTCCTCTATCTTTCATAGAACTAAAAAGCTAAACTAAAAAATAGAGACATGTTCCTCTGAGGAATTCCCATCCTACTGACTTTCATAGCTTGAAAACCTACATGAGTCCGTTACGAAAAGATCACAAGTGAAATGGATCCCAGCAGTCCCAGTAGAGGAATACATACTCAATGTGGTACCAATGGCCCAAAAAGATCTACGGGAAGCTCTGGTCTCACACTGTCTTTACTGAGTCGCTTCAAAGGAACTAGAACTAATGTCGAACTTCACCCAAGCTTTATAAGTTTATTTATTTACCTTCCTGCATAAGCGAAGTAATCTCAACGAAGGCAAATAAAACTATGTTGTTTTTGGGAGATGAAAGATTTGATTCAGGTTTCAGCAGAAAGAAAACTAACCATCTGCTATGATCAGACAGGCACTGGCAGAATATACGGTCGGCTTCATCTCTAGGTACATGAAGACTATCGATGAGAGTGTCATGGTCAACACAGCATTTATCGACTCCTAAATAACACTTTTAACATGATCGTTAAGACCTTACAGTGAAAGCTAAAGGCTTGCTAAATCATATCTGAATCAAAATAGTTGCCGATTCGTGTCACAGTAAATCAATGCAGTAGTCCGACTTCCCTGAGCCAGTTTCCCTACTTTTTGCTTCGTTCCCGTACTTTTCATAACCTTTGAACCTTTATCAAAAACGTACAAAAATGTCGTGAAAGGCAGATGGAGCTCAGCTACAATTTTTTTCGCAATAGGTTCGGTACTAAATGAGCGCTACTGAGAATTGAAAGGGTTTAGGGCCGGGTCCTAAGTTGAATTTAATTTGATGCCAATACGGTTGGGATAAGTTGATTGTGCTAACTGTAAAAAGTCAGACAAGGATAATGCCAAACGACTCTTGTGCTTACTTAACAATTTGTACTGACGAATCATGTTAACCAAACCGGTAACGCGAAAACAGAACGATGGTTTTTCATTTCAATAGACCGTGAGATTGATTTGTGACATCGACATCATAGGTTTCCGTTACTTTTTGATTCTTTTCCGACCAGTCTCCTGATTCAGACAGGAAAACCCTTTATTTCGCAAGTCCTTCACTCATCTTGGCCAGCGCTCCTACGAAAATTTGCTACTCACAGACAGTTATTGCGGTACCCATTACTTTACTGAGAATTGATATTCACTTTTTCTGATATCTTTATCGTTTATGGACGCCGTTCTGAATTTTCATCTCAACTCCACCCACCTCGGCGCACGTCCTTCCCACTTCGAGTGTTTGGCCTCTCCTCGTTTGATAACTATTGCCCACCTTTCCCTGATCTCTAAGACATTTCCACACATAATACAAATCATTCACCGCGTGCCGCTTTCGATGAACCACCTCACGCGACGCGGAATAGCTCGAATGGCTAGCACTTCATGTGCAGATCCCATAACATTAGGCTACGAAAGTCGGATGCATCAGAACGTCAGCCATTCAAAGCATTGTCAACTTCGTGAGAAGTTGTATTAATATAACCAGTCGGCTCGCCCGACTGACACCGGGCTCCCCTCCTTCCCGTGTTAAAATAGCCTCCCCGCCAGCACCACCCACCAAATTTGAGCGCTCTTGGTTCACGGGAACGAGAGCTGTGAATTTTCACTCAAACCCCGCCCACTGGCTCACTGTGGATGGAGTCCGGTCCTGCCGCTCACCATAAGTGTTCCCATCGTGCCGCTTGCACTCCTACCAAATTTGAATGCTCTCGGTCCAAATTTAAGTTATTCACACAAACCCCGCCCCTTGTGAGCGGAGTTCGGTTCTGCCACTCACCATGAGTGTTCCCATCCTATCGCTAGTGTTCCCACAAGTTTTAGCTCAAACCCTGCCCCCTGTGGGCGGAGTCCGGTCCTGCCACCTAACATAAACGTTCCAATCCTGTTGCCTGTTCTCCTACCAACTATGAACTTTCTAGGTCCCAGAGACAGGAGTTATGCTTTTCCAAAATGTTTTCATAAAGCTTTGCATTTTTGGAGAACGCCCAGCCCATAGGGGATGGTCTCCCTAGTTCGATCTAGTTTACCATACACAACTCTAGCCACATTTACACCCCAATTTTGAAGCCGTCTTGTGACTGCATTCGAAATCATGGTCCTCAGTACAGCTCATTTCGATGCATGCCACCCCACTGTGGAACGGGCTCCGCCAAGCTGATGTGTGATTATACTTCTCGGGACATGGCCCACCCATCCCACCCTTGACCCGGTCTCTCCAGGCAGGTCTAAAGGAGCTGAGGAATTTCGTGACAGACATACATAACGACAGACAGAACGACAAATAAAACAACAGACGAAGCGCTTTATAGTAGGTAGGATGGTCTCCGGTCAATACTGAGTTTCTGATCCCGACTCCGTTTACCTCAGCATATTCTTCACCTACTACAAATTATCTTTTCTCTCTACCAGCCTCCAATCAGTTTTCTCCTTATTCTGATGAAGCTCTTGATGGAGCTGAGAGTTTTCGTGTTATGTTATGGTTTTTCACTTGAAGGCATATCCCGGTCATCGCAGAGAAAACTTCGCTTTAACTCAAGCTCACGAACGACGGATCACAGAATTGAAGATGACCCAGTGCTAGCTTTTGTGATAGGATCAGTCGAAGCTTTTAATAGTGCGTGCACTCCATTCTGGAAATTTCCCACCTATCTCGCTTGCATCTTAATTATCTAGGTTTCTTATAACAATCTCGTTCCGGTTTTCAATGACTCAACTATTAGCACAGTATCCCTTGAGTACCTATGGGGAAGATGATTCATATGTGAACTACAAAAAAACTTATGAATAGCATTTCAACCTCTGAAAACCGAGCTCTGTTCTACTTTGACATTTCTGAAATCAAACACTGTGCCTTTATCTCTGAACCTCCTTGTGAATCACTAATGTTCGTACCTGCCGAATCTGATGGAAATGCGATTATGTACGATACCGCACCACTGACAGGTCCAATTCCACATTTCCATGCATTTGCTCCCGATAAGTACAACGTTATTAATAGCGAATTGAGGTGTAAACGCATGGCACCTGAAATGGAGATGGCTTATGCTAACAGCACTTCTGAACTGTAGAGATCATGTCGATGACACCAGAAGGAGAAGCACCATCGAACCCGGAAGCTGTTAACAATGCGATTTGCAAGCGCCTAAGTGCTAACATCGTCATGGGCGTAACTGTTTCTAGAATATGTGTCTCTTGATAGATGGAGAAACAATCAGATGGAGGAATTAGTAAAAACATACTGCAGTCATAGAATGTATCAGGAAGATAGGAGCACTGCGTTCAAACTTTTTGCTCTCATTAACATTGGAAACAGTGTCAAATATTTGTTTTGTCATTTGTTATATTGCAAGCAATTTGTGATTTGGATGCTTTCTCGAGTGTGTTGAATTATGTGGAGAACGTTCGTCCAAATGAGAATGAATCTATTTTTTTAGTGAAGGAAACTGCGAGCATGGGTTCAAGCCTCGTCTACTACTCAACGCTTTGCTCAAACTTCAATCATTCATAATCATAATACTGTCAAGAACTGCCGAATGCCATTAGGCCGGTAAAGACTATAAAGGTAAGGAGGTAGCATAATGTCTAGTGGCGCACTATCATACACTTGGTCAGAGGGTCGAATCCCGAGCTGGTACTTTTCTAAGTATTCCCCATCTGCCCTTCACCCTGGATCGGCCAATTGGTGGCAGCCTTGCCTGGGAGGGTAAAGACACTGACATGTTTCAGGCTACCACAGTAAGTTATTGTATATGTCACGTACGCAGCCAAAGCACCACTAGGACTATGAAAGGAAGTCGAACTTGGGAGCGCATCAAAGAACATGATTGATCAACACCAAAGACTATATATTTTTTAGAATGCAACTAATGAGAGGTTACTGATTCAAAAATGGGAAGTCTCCGGGCTTCGTGAAATTACAAGCAAAAAGAGAACATAATTACATCCCTAGATTCATTTGTTTCTAATGCTAATAGCCTGTGATGGAACAATGGTGGTTGACTACTTCCAATTCCTCATGTAATATCGAAGCAAATGGTTGTAAAAGGCCGCTGTGTACGAATTATAATGGTAATTGAACTAGTCTAGGCTTTGCATAGGCAAACAGAAAACCTCCAATAGACGATGAAACTCAGTCAGAATAGAAAAGAGGAAGACGAAGAACAGGCTCGGTTATACCTCGCATATGGCGAACTGATACGAAAAACTGTTCGGCAACACTGCCTTCAAGTCTTCGGAGGTGGATTTTTCTGAACGCTGTCAAATAACATCTGTCGAGGTTTCTTCGACTCGAACAGAAGAGGTGCAGCCATAAGATCGAATTTCTGCAGTTCATCCACATCATTATGATACCGGCAATAGCATCGGTTAGAGTCAGCCTGCCCACTGGATCACTTTGCCATAATTATAAAAAGTGATGAGAAATACCCTTTTCCACCGGATCACTTTAGCCATAATTATAAAAAGTGATGAGAAAGTCTAAATGGATAGCTCAGATGTGATAGAAAAAGGATCAAGTTCACATCAGCAATTGGGAACAATAAACAGAATTTCACTTCTTCTGACAAGTGCTACTAATGGCTCTGGTGAAGGTCCTTCTCACCGACGATGTCAGGCCTTTTAAATCAGACTTTTCTACAAAGTCAAACCAACTGATCCAAGTGCGACACTCCGTATCAAAGGAATTTAGACAAGAAGAAATGATAATAGACTAAGAGTAACAGTGAATTAACCAGACCGAAACTTCCGAAACGACCCATAAGACTATTAGGGTGACGGGCATGCCCTTACTGGATTGCATTGCAATGACGTTTTTCGTTTTTTGGTCCATCATCCGGGCATGATATAGGCAGAGGAAATCAATGATAGATAGTAGGCAAAGTACAAACTGAATCAAAAAAACGAAAAGCGATCTGCCAGAATCACTGCTCAAAGCGGGGACTACGTTGAAATCTTACCCTTCAAGTGTAATTCATTGGGAGAAGAAAAAGATGGAAAAACAAGGAGAACCCCTTGGCCAAAGGGAGTTGTAAAATCTCAGCTGGTCTCCAAAGTGACTCATAGTGCCCGGTCTCGAACTCGCTATAGCTTCGTACTAGTGTTATGACAGCCGCAACGAGAAAACGAATTCTAGGAACTTTTTAAACCACCCACACAGACATGCCCCTCACGTCACAACTTCAAACATTGATGCCATTGTTCGCATGTGAGAAGAGCTGGAAATGATATCGTAAATGGGGAAATGTTGCCGAACACTATCGATCTCTACCCCATTTACTCAAAAAAGTCGTCCTATCACTCAACGAATTCGCTCAACAAGCTATAGCTAATAACATCTTCAATTTGTTTCTTGAACGAAAATTTTGTGACATTCCGCAAAGTACTGTTTAAAAAGGCTTAAAGGAGCTTCCTGTTCGAAGGGAACTTTGAGAGAACGATATCCTAATTTTCCACTTACCTTTCTGTGGTCATAACAAAGAACGAGTACAAAAGCAAGAATTGGTGAAAGATAGGAAAGAGGAGAACCCGAGAGAGAATAACCGAGTCGGAAATAAAAAAGTGGAGCCGATTGATCCGGAGCTCATTACCCTTCATACAGCGTATCAGAGCAACGAGCGAACCCATATTGTAATCGCTCAACCAAGTGAATTATGAAGATTTCCGGACATGGCACAAACACGTGGGAGGAGGAGCGCGGAGGTGGGTGGAAGGAAACAGAGCCTCCCATTATTCCAGAGTTATTCAGTTTATTTAGCTGTTTCCCGAATATCTCCCAGTTTTTCAGGCAATCCGACCTTCTAGCAACAATAACAAACTGGAGTTTCAAGTAACCATGTTGACTTTTCAATCCTATGAACATAGAATCTGTCATGGGCGTGCATGAGCAATAACTACAAGGAAAACTAAATTATTTAATCAACTCAGTGACATACAAAAATATTCAAGGCAAACATTAATTCATGGGATTTCACACAAGCGAGTCAGACCAGAAAACGGAAAAAAGTCAGCAAGTACCCAACTCCTTCAAGCCAAGACGGATCAGGTGGGGCCTAGTATAAAGGCCTTTCCAAGCGTCACAATTCAGTGCCCATTATCTCATGATTTTCATCCTTACTTGCCTCTGTTTCGTAATGTTACCATATGATTTCTGTGTCTGGATCGATTATCCCGGTTGTTGTTTTGCATTGCAGATAGGTCTGAATTATCATTCATATTTGAGGTAAATGAAACTCGACTAGGGCCTGGCAGTATTTCGTTGAAACGCGATCATTTTATATAACAAGGATTGTTCATGCATGTCATAGCGATAGAGTCAATTAGTGTCTGCCACTCATCTGGCTTAAAGCTCATTAATGGTTCAGAAATGGATTCTTGAGGGTGGACGAAGTTACCAGTCCCTCTAAATATGACTGTGTCCGCTACATCACTGATACGAATACATTTATAGGGCCGTAGGAATTTCTATTCTAAAATAATAGCGACGTAAAAAGTTGTTGAAGAAATTGCATTCACTGACGCTTAGCGGAAGAGTTTGCAGAGCATTCCTACATCGGCCTGCACTTGAATCGAGCCGTATGTTGGCTGCCCAAACGTTCTCAAGCGTTATATTTAAAACTCACCCACTCGAAAGCGTTCGTGGGTGCGATCGACGGCACACCAGTTCTCCCTGGAACCTGACAAAAAAAGTGAAGAAAAAAAACATAGAGGAACGATGAAAGCTTTTATCCTTCCGCCGGCTGAGAACAAATTGATTTAAAGAGTGATGGGAGTTTTCGAAATGTTACATCCTTCAGTTTCAAATAAGAACATCACTTCACAGCCATGCTAGATTGAGAATCCCAACTCGATACAAAAGAACCCCGGATGAATTTTATCCGTCCGGGGTTGGTCAGTCAGTCGGCATTAGATTGGTGTGAGAGGATAAAAGCGCAGACTTGCAGGAATCATTCAAACTCGATTCTGATTGGAAGTCGAATGCGATATTATATCCAAAAACGAGATTGATCATTGCCGAAAAATGCTTTATGGTATCCTTCTACGTAGAAGTTTATCTATGGATGAGAAGTCAATTTTCTTTTCACTTTGGATCATATCTCTGTAACTCTGGAAGCAACGAAAAAGAGTAAAAAGGGATTTCTCGGCGTCTTGCTGGAGATCGTGTAGTTGCACATCACGGATTGAGGACAATTGAAAACAAGATTCAACGCAATTTTGTAATTCCAAGGGGATTGGACGAGGATGTTAGTAACACATATGCATGAAAGCCGTGTCTCATTGACAACCGTTCCTCCAAGGCTGAGCAAATATGAAAACAAACATTTCAGTCCCAAAAAATATCCACAAAAAATACGAGAAGTGTATGGGAATTCAAAAGATCTCATAAAGGGTGCCCATAGATGGGACACGTCGTGTTTGGTGACAAAGGAAAACGATTTATGATGTGAAAAAACAAATCGAATCATAAAGGGTTGTAATCATACATCATATCGTACATCATATCGGAGGGAAAGCAAGAAACTGGCTTCCACGAAATCGGCACAAATGGAAGATAATACCGTAGGGTTATGCTAAGCTTTATAGCGTTCCAATATCGCTCAGATCAAGGAGCCCTCTGGGCTGTAGATCAAGATTGAGAACTCTTTCCCTTTACCTTAGGCGATCTTAAATGGCTCTTCGTTTTACAGGAGAAGGAGCTTAAAAGTAAGCACAAGAGGGTATCTGCCCTTGGATGCTCAAGCCATCATTCACACATGTCAAACTTGATGATAGGTTCGAAGGAAAGTCGATCTGGATCAATGAGGATGTAGTAGAAGATTAAGTTGAAGGTTAAGCTAGAAAGAAGCTCATATCTTCAAGTTCTGTGACGAGTAGGTGATGGATTGTCGGGACGGATGAGTATGTTCATGGGAGCGCTTTCTCCTACATCCACAGCAACATAAATAAAATGTGCGTCCGATCTAACCCATATGTAAAAGTCCCATATATTTTTTCTTGTTCTTCAAAGTCTTCATAGTCTCTTCA